GGCCTTGGGTTTGAGAGAGAGTTTGGGTTTGTGTTTTTGTGNTTGGAATTTGGAAAATTGGAAATATGAATTGAAAATTGCAAAAACTAATAAAAATTAAAATAAGAGCAAATTGATAACAAAAATATTAAGAGAATAAATGAATAATTGAGAGAATAAAGATTAGAGAATATGAGAGAATGAGAGAATTTGAGTTGTGAGAAAAATATGAGAGTTTAGGGCCAATTTATAGAAAAAAAATGGGGAAAGAAAATGACGAAAAAGACCCCTCCAACAGCTATAAAACAGTTATATTTCAAGGGTAAAAGGGTAATTTAAAAAAATAAATTAATTTTACTTTTTTTTTAATTTATTTTTCGGCCAACCCGACGGGCCAACCCGCATGCAACCCGCCAGGTTGGCGGGCCTCCTGCAGAGAAGACAAAATAGCAACCCGCAGGCCACCAGGTTGCCATTTTGCAACCCGGCCCGCCCGGGGGTTGCTGGCGGGTAGGGCTCAACCCGCGGGCCGGTTTCAACCCTCTTCATTACGGGCCGGGTTAGGGTTGACCCGCCTAACCCGGCCCATTTGTTCCACCTTTAGAAATTCTATGTCAATATGTGCGGCTGATCTTTCTTCTTCAGTTCAAGGGGATTTTGAAGCTTGAATTCATGTCATTGGTGTAACTTAACTTCAGTAACATTGTTTTTAATCTTGTGCTTATTGGAATTTTTATGTTTTTCTATTTTAATTGTTTATGAATTTTGTTTGGGTGATTTAGTAATGGCCTGCTAAATTGTTTAATCGAAATTTTATCTGTTAGAATTAGGAATTGTGATACGTAATTGTCCTATTTCTATTCAGTGAGTAACACATGATGATAGATGATTATGGACAAGTTTTCAGTCTGTCACCTTGAATAACATAACCTAAGTTAAATAATCCAATCTTGCGTGATTGTTGCTTGGATTGTCTATTTTCCTAATTCTTAAGGCTTCCATTGATTAAACTTAGAGAGCTTATTTTAGGTTGTTCAAGGGTTAGGATCTCATTGAAGAGCTTATTTCAGTAGTGACTATTAAAGGAAAATTCAGGTAACAGAGCTTGTTGTTTCCTAGGGTCAATAATTCCATAATAACGAGATAGATTTATGTTACGGTTAGTTCTTGTCCAATGTATGTTTAGGTGGATCTTGAACTGAGAACTGGTTGTTTTTAATCTGATATTTTCTACCATTGGAGATTTATTCATTTCACTTTAGATTGCATTGTCTACAACCCCTTTCATTATTTTGTTGTCATGTTTACTGTTTAGGATTGGTGTTTTTGTTATTTTACAAAATTTTTATATATTGGGGTATTTAGTTAAATTTGTAAACTTAGGGGGTTTTTTAGAAATTTTTAAATTTATAAAAAACTAAAATTCAAACTTTTAAGGGCATTTTAGTCTTTTCACTATTAATAAATAGTAATAAATAGAAATCCCTAACAAAACATGACGGAAAGTACCTATTTATTATTTTAAAATTTTTTAAATACCAACTTATCGTTACGATAAATCTTGGGTACGTGTAAGTCGTTTTCTTTTTTTTCTAAGAAGGGAAGCTTCTTGTATAAGCACTCAAATAATACAAGCTATTAATACAAGAGACAAACTGGACATAATTATAATAACTTTGGACTTTGGACACAACAAGACAAACTTAATAATACATGACTTTTTTATTTATGTATAGTGGTATATAAACAAAGTCTTAGGAAAGTGTGAGAATAAATTATTGATGAATTTACTGTAGTCATGAGGATTAAACAGGCTTTAATGCAGGCCTAATCAATTACCTTAAAAAAAAAAACGTGGTGTGTGTATCTCGTTAAGAGTAATATTACATTTGCATCATTCTTTTACACAATTTTTATTATATCATGATATGATATATGTCATAATTATATAAATTTTTAATTATTTTAAATTTTTAATATTATAATAAAATTTATGTGATTATGACATATATTACATTATGATGTTTACAAAATGGTGTAAAAAAATAATGTAAATATAACATTACTCATTTTTTTTAAATAGGGAAAGTTTAAGTATCATTCTTAAAAGATACTCGAACTGATGTGATTAGATGACAATAGTCTTTTTCTTTGACTTTATCTTGAGGTTCTAGTATTGAGCTCCCACATGGAGGTGTTCAAACAAACCATTGACTTGTATGAATGATCTTATTTATGTGAATAGATTTGAGAAAAGAGATGAGATAATATTATGCATTATTTGTAAGTGAGAGATGTTGGCTAAAATATGGCAGCCGTGAAGGTTGAGGTTACTTGGCAATTGCTCAAATAATTGTAGCAATAAAGAAGCTACTAATAATTTGATATAATAACGGTTTGCAAGATCCAATAAATGCTGGACCTTGACCTTGAAGATTTGCTCAAACCCAAAAAAGTACATCAAACGACGACCATTCACAATTCCATGGACTTAATCAATATTTCTCAAAGTGATGAAATAGACTTTTAATATAGTTATATCGTGCTATTACATAATTAGCTTTTAGATCTATTAATGTAGATTGATATAATGTATCAAATACAAATGATAAATGGGATGGTATCATAGTAAGCTAATCTAACCAACTTAACATCAACAAAATTAGAGCTTTCATATTGTCAGAATAAAATTAAAAAGCCGTTTTGGTAGATCAATCACCTGCTCGGCATCTAATGCTATTTGAAAATATAAATGGATCCACCAAACACGAGGACTTCATATCTACATTCTATTTCTTTATTTACTGAGTGCATTGTTTTCAAGGCATATCATGTGCAATGCCCTTGGTCCGCGAAAATCTCCAAGTCAAGCGCCTTGGTTCGCGAAGGCAAGGCTATGAGGTACAGTTGTTGCCCTTGAGATGACCATGAAATCATGAGATATGAGCCAGGTATTATAGTTTAATTCATTAAAGTTTAGTTAGTTCTACCTAATTCTTGTTGTCTACACATACAGTAATTAACTAATGAATGAGTTGTGATGTTCATGTTCATTAAAGTTTAGTTAGTTCGACCTGAACTTCTGCTCTTTTCTGCTCGGATCATCTCCTTGTATTCTGCTTGTGAGAGTCATCCTATCGAACACATTACAGTTTATATTAAGATAACATACTTGTAGCTGTCATCCTATCGAACACATTAAGTATCAGTAATCCTCGTGAACTACGTTTTTTTTTTTTTTAAGGTAATTGACTAGGCCTGCATTAAAGCCTGTTTGATCCTCGTGACTACAGTAAATTTATCAATAATTTATTCTCACACTTTCCTAAGACTTTGTATGGTCACTTATGCGGATAAAAAGTAAAACGATGTGTGACAATGGCACATATGGTGGGATTAATTAATTAATTAATAGGGCAAAGGAGTAAACAAAGTTGATGTGAATGGAATACCACTAACAACTAATTGCTATAAATAAATTGTTTAATTATGTGATGGAAAATGATAAATAGTCAGGATTATACCACGTTATTTGATACATAAATTTAGTGCGTATTCTTTAATAACTGTAGTATTACTCTTATGTGACACGTGCTCTATTGTCCATTAAATTTTGTTATATATGCATTGACTTAAAGTCAGATTAATTAATTCTATTATTCTACTTTGGACACCTCATTGATTGAGTTTGTGAAAAGGATTTTCTTCATCACTTGTTTGTGTGACTTATTTAAGCATATGTGTTAGAAATAAAATTAATGGAGGTCTCTAATCAGTAATCTCTATGGAGGCATTAAATACCAAGATCCAGTTGCAATTTTCAACACCATTTAAACACTATCGACATTGCAGAAGGCCATAGCCCATAGGTAATCGATCGTTCACATTAAAAAATCGTTCAAAATTTGAATTAGTAAAAACTTAATAAAAAAGATAAACTCACCTAGTGTCGTTAATATCAAAATAAGTACATAGGTTTTATAAATGAATTATGTGGAATAATTTTTAAATTTTATATCTAAATGTATCTATTTCATCCTTGAAAGTTCTTTCAATAATAATAATAAGTTTATATTTAATATCCAATAAAATAGATGCGTGATCTTGAAAGATTAATATCATGAAAAAGATTTCTATTATAAAATTTCTAATGGTGAGTCATATACGCACAATTAGCAGCCATCACTGAAATTTGATGCTATCATTTTTGTTTCCCTTCCTTTTAGACTTGAGCTGTCATCTTTTTTCAAAGCTCTATTTCAGGGGTGGTTTTCATCCCTCAGATTTGATTATTTTTCTCCACCGAATTTTGGAAACTAACGCCGCTGTCCCACCATTAGTTTCAAGCTGTTAACTTTAACATATCGATGGTAAGCTAGTTATTTAACTTTACATACAAATTCAAAACGTTATTCTCCTCTTTTTTTATATATTAATCAAAAAGTAAAATAAAAGGCAGAATGTCAGGCTGCCAACAGCTTTGAGTACAACTTTAGTCAATATGTAGGCCCAAAAGCAGCCTCCTGGCTCTCTTTCGGTGCGTAGAGAGAACTCTACTTTATCGGCAGTTTCTAAGAAAAAACTCTTACTATATATTTTGAAGAGAATGAGAGTTGATTACTGATGCTATATATTTTGAAGAGGGAGGCCTACCTTAAATTTTAATTATGCTACGAAATTTTTACCGACATTTCTGTTGAAAAACAAAAATGGTTAAGTCTTAGTTTGGGTAGAAATAAAGAATGAAGACAAATTATATTGTTCAAATTCTAAACTCTAAAGCTCTCTGCCCGACTGGTTGCCGATTGGCGCTCTAGGAGAAGAGTGCATGAACCAGAACAAACTATTTTTATAGCTCAAATCCTTGTATAATCTCCAAACACAAGTCTCTTCTTTTTCCTACGCCTCTTCTACCTCAAAACTCCCAAAGTTTGGTCATTTTGGCCAACTTGATGTTGTTTGCGGTTGCTTAACATCTATTGGGTTTCACTAATTGTTCTAAACTCTTTGCTTTGGTGATCATGGATGTCTTGGATCCAATCATGGGCATTCTCCCAACACTGTGGAATGGCACTTCCAAGCGCATTGATATCATCCGTCATCTCCAAGAGAACTTGACTTCATTAAGACAGACAAGGGATGAACTCGAGGACATCAGCAAAGATGTCAGGAGCAGGGTCGAGCATGCAGAGCAGCAATATCGTAAGCATACCAACCAAGTTGAAGGCTGGCTGGAAAGGGTACAACTCAAATTACAGGAAGTGCAGAATATTTTGCTGAAGGGAGAGCAAGAGATCCAAAAGAAATGTTTGGGAAGTTGCTGTCCCAGGAATTGCTACTCTAGCTACAAGCTTGGTAAAGAAGTAATTAAGGGGACTAAAGCTGTGAATGATTTAATAAACAAAGGGAAGGAATTCAAATCTTCGGATGATATTTCTGAAAAACTACCTTCGCCTCCAGTGGATGAGATATCTGTGAAGAAGACTGTGGGCATGGACTCAATACTGAATGAAGTTTGGAGATGTCTTGACGACCATAAAGTGAGTGTGATCGGCATATACGGGATAGGGGGTGTTGGCAAGACCACCCTTTTAAAGAAACTTAACAATAAATTCATCAATGAAAGACGAGAATTTGATGTGGTGATTTGGGTTACGGTGTCTAAAGAAGTGAACTTGGATGGAATTCAAGAAGTTATACGGCATAAATTACAGATTCCATATGAAACATGGGACAAAAAGACAGACGAGCATAGTAGAGCTACCGAAATCTGCAGAAGCTTAAGTAGAAAAAAGTTTGTGCTATTGCTAGACGATCTGTGGGAGCGAATAGATCTGCCAGACATGGGAGTTCCTGACGTTTCATGCCATCAAAATGGGTCAAAAATTGTATTCACAACCCGTTCAGAGCATGTGTGCCATAGCATGGACGCTGCTGTCAAGAAATTCGAAGTGAAGTGTTTGTCATTTGAAAAATCCTTTGAATTGTTTCGACAATGTGTGACGGAGGATGTTTGAACTCGCATCATCAAATTAGAGAGTTTTCTGAAACTGTTGCTAAAGAGTGCAAAGGTTTGCCGCTTGCTTTGACCACTATTGAGAGGGCCATGTCCAATAGGAGAACACCAGAGGAATGGCGGTATGCTATCAACACATTGCAGAGTCATCCATCTGAGTTTGCAGATATGGAAAGTAGTGTCTTTCAAGTTTTGAGGTTTAGTTATGATAGCTTGAGGGATGATAAACACAAAAATTGTTTTCTTTATTGTTCCTTGTTTCCAGAGGATCATATGATTAGAAAAGATGAACTAATTGACCTCTGGATTGCGGAGGGAATTTTACGTAATTATGGTTTAGATGATACAAGAGACGCAGGAGAGTTTATTATTAGAAGTTTGAAACATGCGTGTCTGTTGGAGATGGTTGGAGATTCTGATGATTATGTTAAGATGCACGATGTGCTTCGTGATATGGCTCTGTGGTTAGCTTTGGTAAAGGAGAACAAGATTTTTGTTTTTGAAAATCAAGAATCCATTAAAAAACATGGCATTGCTACATGGAAGGAGGCAGTAAGAATATCACTGTGGGGTAGAAGTGTTAAACTTTTCAGTGAAACACCATTTTGTCCGCGTCTGCTAACTTTTGTGGTTAGACAGACTTCAGTTGAGACATTTCCTAGTCCATTCTTTCAATCTATGCATGCCATGAAAGTTTTGGACTTGTCAAAGAATTGGTACTTAACTACGTTGCCTGCCATGCTTGAAATGATAAATTTGCAGTATCTTAATTTGTCGGATACGGATATAGAGGAGTTGCCAATTATGGCTAGCAGTTTGACAAAATTGAGGTTTCTACTGTTAGATGGTACAAGGAAACTCAAAGCTATTCCAGAAGGAGTGATATCAATTCTTTCATCGCTACATGTGTTCAGCAGAGTACCAACTAGAAATAGGGAGCTGTATTTTCATTCCTTTTGGAATACAACCTTGTTACGAGAGTTGGAGTGCTTGGAAGATTTACAAGAAATTAGTGTCACCTTGTTTACAGTCGATGCTGTATTTCTATTTAAATCATCCCCCAAGTTACGAGGTTGTGTTAAACGGTTAGTAATCAAGTGCGAGCAGGGCGAGGAATTGCATTCGCCCAACGCATCCTCTTCGGTTCTAAGTACAGGCTGTTTCAACATCCTTCATGACCTCTATATCAATAATTGTTTGATAAAAGATTTGACATGCCTCAGATATGCTACACGGCTTAGATTTGTTTTTGCTGAAAAATGTCCCTTATTGGTAGAAATAATTGCCAATGAATTCAGCTCTTCATCAGAAGCCCCCAACATGTTTAAAAATCTAAAGCAATTGAATTTTCGTGATCTACCACTTCTAAAGAGCATATGCCGTGTCATGCACTTCCCTACCCTGGAGACGATACATGTAGACAATTGCCCAAGTCTAACAAAACTCCCACTTGACGTTTTCAACGAGAATAACAGCAGAATTTCGATACTGGGAGATAAAGAGTGGTGGGATAAGCTGGAATGGGAGAATTCGAGTTCAAAAGTTTCTTATCCCTCTATGCATCAGACAGCACCCGTCTCAGGATTAGCAGCACAATTTTGTTCCGACAATTTTCCACACTTCAAAGCAGCTGGTTGGTGGAATTCAGATGCGCCAAGTTATACATATGAAGCAACAAAGTTTGAGGAAAGGTACGTATCCTTCGTACTTTCGAATCCAATCTAGATCTATTAATTTTATTTTGTTGCAGTACTTAAGTTCATTTTCATGCAAACAATTTCAAATTTACTCATTAGAAAGACCAAAGTGGAATACGCAAGTTAAATCTAAAAATTTTCATCGCTGCTCAAAAAGTAGGATTACATCATATATTTGTAGTCTAGATAAAGGAGACTGATACTTCAATATTTGATATTAGTAGTTACAAACATAAAAATGTTTAACCCAAAATTATATATCTAGAAAATTTACTGGCAGAAAAACGTTTATTTTTAACAAAGACCCCTGTTTACTAACTTTTGTCCGCTTAAATTTTACTTAATACTGGGGAATCAACTTGTACTTGGAAAGGACTAATACTATCACTAAAATTTTTTACACACGTTATGAACCGTTCATTGGTGATAAGATATGTTGAGTTGACATTAAATGTAACTACCTTTTGTTGATCATGATTTAGGGTAGAGCTATGGCATTATTTTTAATTAAATATGGAGAGGGGGTGAGGGGAGAGACATTTATAGCTTTCTACTTTTCTTCTCTGATTTCCTCTCTTACCCAAATAGTAAAATGCTATCAAATTACAGAATTAAACTTTATTGATGAATTTCTGAACACTCTACTAGAAAAACTTGCTTCATTGACACTTAGGCTCTTGACAATTATGAAATTATGTACTAATAAAAAAATTATGTATTTAAAAATATAGGTATTATAAGACTTAATTTTTTATTAATCTAAACGATAAATTGAGTGGTTAATTGGTAATTTAATGAAAAAAGTCAATTTTATAAGGGTAAAATTGAAAGATATTAAAACTAAGAGGGACTGGGATTTAGATGGCCTATAGTAGAAGTAGAAAACAAAAAGGGTTGAAATGATATTTAGCAGTATTTAGCCGGAAACAAATTTTTTGAAAACATACACGAGGAAGGGACTCGAAATGAACCATCAAATAACCTCCCCCCACCAATGATGCTGCAGCCTGCAGTGTGACCTTTTTCATGTTGTCAAATCATTACATATTCTATTAGTTTTTAAAAAAGTGGATCGCTTAAGACAATTACATTCCTTGAAACTTTCTAAATTGTTACTCATATCATAAATTCGACTTACAGTTATTTTTTTTCCGTTTAAATGGATGGCTGACCTGTTTTGATTAATGAAAACTCGTAATTACACTTGAAAATTTGTTGTACATCGAACTACCTGACATTCAGCTTTGATGAATCTGGCAATTGACGTAGCAATCTTTCGCAGAGCTGACACAGAGAAACTTAGAGTGGCACGGATGGTTTCAGAAGCGGCACTTAAATATATCAATGACCTTACATATAGCTCAAACGAGGCAAAACAATTTGTAGACTGAAGTGGCAGAAATTAAGGCTGAGATGCAACTTATGGAAGTGAAGCAGAAGAAGATTGGAGATTCCATTGGATAAAGATGCTAATCATTATCTAGTTTACAATTAAACCTACCTTATACAGTCAGTAGGGATTGAAAGGGTATAATCTCTAGGGTCAGTTATGGGTTGAAGAAGGAATTTAAGGGTTTTATGGTACTGTGTGTAATCTGTAATCTTGACAGTGATTTAGTGCAGCGGGCTTGTGTGTTTCCCGAGCTCAACGTGGACGTAGCTTGCTCAAAATAGAGCAAGTGAACCACGGTAAAATTCTGGTTGTTCTTGTGCGTGTTGGTTGTGATTCTTGATTGTGATCTTTGTTTGGTTGATTCTTGTGTGCGTGTGGTTATAACAAATTGTTTGTTTTTTAGAAATAGAAATGTAGTTGACTTGAAACAAGTTGAAATCAATTATGAAAACTGATTCTTCGGGAAAAAAAATAAAAAAAATTTAGAAACTCATGCGTGTTTGAATGAACTCGTGCGTCCATGAGTGAAATCACTCAGGAAGCGAGCTCAGAAATTTTAAAGCTTTGAAGTTGAGTGCTTGCAAAGAATTTTCCTAGTAAAATGGTAAGTGGAAAAGTTCAAATGACCCCAAAAATTAAATTCAAACTTTATCAAAATATGAGAGATTTCACTATCAAATTGATTTGAAGTTGATATATAAATTAATAGCAGAGTTGAATATTATGGCATTTGATATGTTGTCTTGGTAGTGCAATCCAAACGATGAGAAAGGAAATATTTTCAAGGCAATCGTCACCTGTTTTGTTGTGGTATTGGGGGTGATTTGATTCTTGTACTGGAATGTAAAGAAATCAAAGAATTTGGTTTTTCCACTGCCGCCATGTCCTCATGGTTTACTATTAATCAGACACCTTCCATTTCTCGATTCTCACCTAGCTAAATCATTCACAAATTGAGTAGCTAATATTCAGACATCCTTCCAGTGCTTTCGAGGTTTGATTTACAGCGAAATATGGACACAAAGCGGGCAAAGAAGATTTTGTTCTATGCCGAAAAGATTATTCTTGATCCTGTTATTGAGCGGCATAGGAATATGGTAACGGTTAAAGGAGAAGGGAAAAGGAAGGATCCCTTATAGCACATTTTTTCTTGGTCATGAACTACTTCTCCAGCTTGTAAAGGTGAGCTCACCACTACCCACAATTTATTTCCAAGCCAGACCTTGTAAATAGGACCATAGATGTACCCTAGCCAATTCTGTGAATTATACAGCAAGGTGAGAACCAAGCAAATGGAAGATATTTGATTAATGGTAAACCAAACCCGGTGGCAGTGGAAATATCAAATTCTATGATTTCTTTACATTCTAGTACAAGAACCAGATCACGCCCAGACCCACAACAACACAGGTGATGATTGCCTTGAAAATCTTTCCTTTCTTTTCATCGATGGGATCGTACCACCAAGACGACATATTGAATTCCATAATATTCAACTCTGCTATTAGTTTGTAAATGAATGGAAAATAAGTACACATCCTACCCTACTTTGATAAATAGGGTTTGACTAAGGAGAATTGTTTTCGTTTTGGAGGATCACAATATATTTCGTGTCACATCAGTGATTATGAGAAATGTAGATGATTGGGAACATTATTGTTAGGAATTAAACTAAGCATGTTTGTATGTTTAGTTCTATTAAAAGTGATTGTTATTTTTATTTAAATTTGTATTTGTGTTTTGATTTAATCATTTAATGTTAGGATTCGTAATTATATTAGAATTAGGGTTTAACTCTTATAAAGGAATATGTTTGTCAGTTTATATCTGAGAAGAAAATGGGTAATAGAAAATGAGTAATAAATCAATCAACACAACATCAAGCCACAATACAACACAACAAGCACAATGGATCAAGCAAAATTGAACTAACATGCAAACATACTTAGTTTAATTCCTAGTAGCCTACCTTGTTTGCATGCTTAGTTTGATCCATTGCGCTTTTTTTTTTTTTTTTTCCTGCATGCTTAGATTTCATAGTTGTGATGATGTGGCTTCTTATTTGCCATGGTGGAAGTCAACTTTAGTTTTAAGGGTCAAACAAATGATGCGAAAATGTTTTTGGGCAAACACATGCATATCGTGATTTGGTTATCACACTTCTCATACTCAACTTCTCTACTCTCCCTTTACCTCAACAGATTCGTGACTCCAAAGAACCTTCCAAATTGCCATTCATCTTACGGTTATGGAGAAATTGAAGACAGGTGGAGGCTGATCAAGGAAGGGTGCATGTGTATTTAACATCGATTGATGATGGAGAAATGTAGATCTCATATTGGAGGAAACTTAGGGTTTTCGGATTGGGTGTGTTCTTTCCCTTTTGTAAAGTTTTCTTCTCTGCTTTGTCCATTATTCTGTACTGTTTGGCTATTAATGAGAATACCCTACTGTGAGCCTTGGAGAGTGGATGGAGGTTGCAAAGTTGAACCACTATAATTGTTGTGTCTTGTGTTCTTTGCTGATTTTCTTCATTTGCTCATAGTTCTATTAACTGATTCCTAAATTGTTTGTTAAATTTGTTCAATTAGATCTAGTTAGTAAACCCTAGAGTTCTAACAAATTGGTATCAGAGCCTGGTTGAAAGTTCAGCTAGGGTTTCGCTGGTTTGCTCGTGTTTCAACTTAGTTTTGGGTTTTCTTAGCTGTTTACTTTTCTATTGTTGTGTTTTTTGAATCTATGAGAAAAAAATGTCAACTAAGTTTGAGCTTGAAAATTTTATAGGTGAAAACGATTTTGGATTATGGAAAATGAAGATGGAAGCAGTGCTGATTAAGGAGGGTTTGACCTTAGCTTTGAAGGGGGAAGCTGAGTTACCTGATACCTTAACTGATGCAAAAAAGCAAGATACGTTGAACAAGGCCAAAAGCTCACTGATCCTCGACTTGGGTGATAAAGTACTTGGAGAAGTCAAGAAAGAAAAAAAAACTACTACTAAGATATGGAGCAGGTTAGATTCTCTTTACCAGTCAAAGACCATTCCTAATAGATTATTTCCAAAACAGAGTCTATTTGGGTTTAAGATGGATAAACAAATATCACTTAAGGATAATAAGGATGACTTTCTTAAGATTATATAAAATATAGAAAGCATCTCAGTTGAAATTGATGATGAGGATCAAGTGGTGGTCCTGTTAAACTCTTTACCCAAAACTTATTCAAATTTTGTAGAAACCTTGAATTATGGTAGACAGGCTCTGAAGCTAGAAGAGGTTATAGATGCTATCTCAGCTGAGGACACTGAAAATAGGATTAGAGAAAAGAATGTGAGTGATGGTGAGGGTCTTGTAGTCAGAGGAAGACCTGAGAAGAAGAACTGGAAAAATAGGGGGCAGAATAGATATAGGTCAAAATCTAAAACTGGAAAATGGAAGTGTTTTTTCTGTCATAAGGTAGGTCACCTTAGGAGAGATTGCCCTGAGAGGAAGAAAAATAAATATGAGAAGGAGAGTGACGGAAGTAGTGCAGGAATATTATCAGAGGGTTATGAGAGTTCAGAGGTCCTAGTTATTTCAGAAGGCAAGATTAGTGATGAATAGATCTTAGACACTGGCTGCTCCCATCACATGACACCTAACAAGGAGTGGTTCAGTTCCTTTCAACCTTTAGATGGTGGGAAAATGATGATGGGGAATAATGTTGTTTGTCATATTAAGGGAATAGGCTCTGTTAAGTTGAATCTCCATAATGGATTAACCAAAACCCTTACTGATGTTAGATCTATCCCTGACCTCAAAAGAAACCTTATCTCCTTTAGGACATTAGACTCTATAGGTCTAAGTTATAAGGTTGCTAATTTAATTCTTAGTGTTTTGAAAGGGTCTTTGATAGTTATGAAGGTTGAAAAGAAGAATGGTCTATATGTGTTGAAGGGTAGAACTAATAGTGGAGTGGCTGCTGTTGGGTCAACTGAGGGGTAAGATAAAACCATTATGTGGCATCAAAGACTTGCCCATGTCAGTGAAAGAGGTTTAGGAGAACTTAGTAAGTAAAACCTACTATGTGGAGATAAAACAGGAAGCCTGACATGCTGTGAGCATTGAATATTTGGGAAAATGAGTAGAGTGAAATTTGTGATTGGACAACACTACTCAAACTCACCTCTTGAATATGTGCATTCTGATGTATGGGGCCCATCTAGGAATTATTCCCTTGGAGGATGTAGGTACTTTATCAGCTTTGTAGATGACTACTCTAGGTATGTTTGGATTTATTTCCTCAAAACCAAGGATGAAGCATTTCCTAGATTTAGGGAATGGAAAACCATGGTTGAAAATCAAACTGGAAAGAAACTAAAGAATTTGAGAACTGACAATGGTTTAGAATTTGTCAATGAAGAATTCAATAATTACTGTAGAGTTCATGGGATAGTTAGACATAAGATAGTGAGACACATTCCATGATAGAATGGTCTTTGTGAAAGGATGAATAGAACCATTCTAGAAAAAGTGAGAAACATTCTATCATGTTCTAAACTGTCAGTTAAGTTTTGGGCAAAAGCAGCCCATACTATAGTTTATTTGATAAATAGAACACCTTCTTCAACTATAGGTTTTAGGGTCCCACTTGAAAAATGGATTGGTCATCCTGTAAACCTGGAAAATCTTAGAGTTTTTGGGTGTCTTGCTTATGTTCATGTAAAGGAGGACAAATTAAAACCTAGAGCCATTAAATGCATCTTCTTAGGATACCTAGATGGAGTTAAAGGCTATAAGTTATGGAATTTAGAATTTAAGAAGTGTATTATAAGCAGAGATGTTGTTTTCAGAGAAGATATTCTACCTAGTTTAGAAGGTAAATCTGATGTATCAGAGGGCTACTATCTAGGATTAGATCACTTAGAACTAGAAGTGCATGACTCCAATTTTAGTCCAGGTCCGAATCAAGGTGGAGTTAAGGTTAAATGCTCATGAGAATGAACCAAATGCTAATCATGAA